CTCCAATACAATAAGAATTGTATAAAAAAAAACACCAAAAAGACCCAGCTCCACAACTATAACATTCCCGTTTACACAGGCATATTCCCCAAACTATATTGTATTATATATGGAATCATGCCAGATTGTAGCTGACACTATCTTGGAATCAATTACTGTCATTGCAACAAATTACTTATGATGCTTTATTGACGCACAATGAAGTACATAGAAATATTTAGATATTTTGTTTGATTTAAATGAGTGAGCAGTGATTATCAGAACATCATATTGAATATAAATTGCATGCTTAGGCTATATAAACATAGTGTTACATACTGTATATTGAGACCAATTTAATGAGGTGCATTGTAACTCTGCAGTCTTGAGTTCATGGCTGCTATAATTTCTGTAACCCAGAAACCTTTACATCCTATAACTATACAGAATTCAGTATTCGAAAAAATGTCAGAGTTTTTCCATTATCAGTGGTGACATTTTAATTATGTACATTCACTATAAACACAGGGACACTGCAGAATGAGGGTAAACCCAAAATCCTGCATAGAGGGGCTCAGTGAACGTGGATGTGAATCTATGCAGGAGGGTCAGTTCACCGGAGGCAACGCTGTAGAAGGACAGGATACCAGTCTCCCAGTCCAGGTACACTCCTACTCTGGGGGAACGGGAGGCGGGTAATGGCAGGACAATGGCGTTGGCATCATGCCAGAGAGAGTACCAGTCATCAGAATAGTACAGAGTCCAGGACTTGTTGTTGCGTCCAAGCAGACTCTCATTATCATGGTCTCCTTTCCGGACGATTCCTTTGTAAGTCACTCCTACTTCAATCCTGCTGTTTGTCATCCGCTCAACTTCCCAGTAGCAGCGACCAGACAGACTCTCACTACACAGAACTTGGAGCCTGCAATCGAATCTGTCTGGATGATCAGGATAAGGCTCCTGCATTTCACTCCATGTCACCTCTCTTTCCGTCTCTGATAACAACAGCTGTTTGTTTATTGTGTTGGGGTCCAGCGTGAGCGTACAGGCAACTGCAGTCAAAGAGAGTCAGAAATGGCAATACACATAAAAATTAAAACAAAAATGAGCATAAAACATGTATTAATAATAAGTGAGAAACATTATCAATTACTTAGATAAACACATACATGTTCAATTAAATACAGTAACAAAATCATTCTGAATGCAAGAAAAGCCAGTCTATGGTATATATTAAGGGAGACGCAGGTGGTCCTCATGTCTGTATTTTCAGTGTAGAATGACGTGTGAAAAAGCAGGATGGTTTTGGAGGGTGAAACTTCAGACAGACTTACATTTTCTTGGTCCTGATCTGATCCTGCATTCTCCGCCATAATCCATGCTATTGAAGAAGCAGAAGAAACACAAATTTCTTGTCGCAGTCTGTTTTACTGTCCATCTTACAGAAATGTACACATCCAATTCTATAATCAAAGAGCAATTAGAAAGTACATACTGTAGTTTCTCCAGTTTCCACCTGGGGTCCTCCAGGCCAGCAGAGAGCAGTCTCACTCCTGACTCTCCTGGGTGATTGTAGCTCAGGTCCAGCTCTCTCAGGTGTGAGGGGTTTGACCTCAGAGCTGAAGCCAGAGAATCACAACCTGCTTCTGTGACTTGACAGCCTGACAACCTGCAGACAGGCACACAAACCAAAAATATTCACACTTAAGTTTAACATCTGCAACATAAACATATTCATATTAATATGTGAATCCCTCAGTACTACTAACCTCAGCATGTCCACTTTACAGTTACAGTACCCTGGCAGTACTGACCTCAGCATGTCCACTTTACAGTTACAGTACCCTGGCAGTACTGACCTCAGTATCTCCACTTTACAGTTATAGTTCCCTAACAGCACTGACCTCAGTATCTCCACTATACAGTTATAGTTCCCTGGCAGTACTGACCTCAGTATCTCCAGTTTACAGTGTGGATTCCTCAGTCCATCAGAGAGCAGCTTCACTCCTGAATCTTGCAGGTCATTGTCACTCAGATCCAGCTCTCTCAGCTGTGAGGAGTCTGACCTAAATGCTGAAATGAACGCTTCACAGCATTCCTCTTTGAGTTTGCATTGAATAAGCCTAAAATGATGACAGAATGATTTAAAGGATAATGATTATTCCTTGTTGTTATGTTGCATAAGTTCCTTTTATTGAAGGATCCTCCTTAATACATCAACCTGAACAGATCAATATATCCAAAGGAATTCTAGCTTATAGGTAAATGACACTTCTACAAATTGCTGATTTACACACTGTGACCCACAGAAAAAGAGTACAGTTAGCTCTATTGGGGGGAATGGGTCACTCTTTTGTTGAGAAGTAACAGCCTGTGTCTTTGATAAAGGCCAGACACGATGACACGGGATGAATGAGGAGCGTATATATGACGGTAATTCCGGTTTGTCAAAGGTGTTTCGATTCAGCTGCAAGCAGGGACAGTCGGAAGGAGTGAAGCCACGGCAGGTTTGAATCATTCGGTACTGCGTTGGTTACTGTGGAATTATTGTGATCTCATGTGAGGTGTGCATTGTGAATTTTAGGTCTGTGTGGATCCAGGGTTAGTGTGTGGGTGTGTGATTGACGCCGAGTTAATTCTGGTAGGTAATCTTGCTCGTGGTGCTATTTGGATGGAGGTTTGCAGAAGGGGAGCGGGACGTGACGATGGTGTATTTGTTTAGTGTACTATAAAAGCTACTGCTATTCTCCCTATCTAGGTGTCGTTGCTGTACGGCGAAGGCCAACGCGGGCATTGCGTGCCTGGGTGGATCTCCAGTAGAGTTGGGGACTACACTGGGCTTGGCTTCTGTGACGGAGCTGTTTCCAGCGAGGCCTGCTTCAGATGCATCTCATGAACTTTTGGTTGATTTCCTTACAGCACAGCGACTGTTTTTCCCAAGTTTATAAGGCAATGTGTTACACTGTTTGCTTGTCCGTGCCTGTGAATCACTGCATCGCCGAAAGGTTGCTATAGCGGGTGCACAGTAATATCTTCCTGTTGCGGCAGTTGGCGGGAGGGGGGATCCTATCCTCAGGCTGCATGGTGGCCACATGTACTTTGCGTGTTTAAATATTTGCACTACGGTAACATTTCAGGATCAAGAGTGCTTTTCTGTGCGATATTGCACGAGTGTGATTGCTGTGTTGATTATAAGGGGGTGGTTTGGGTGTGGATTAACCCAGGTTTGAATTTGTAGTGGAGTACGTGGCAACGCTGAGGATTGGGATACTACCCACACCTCAGCCTCCAGCAGTTCATTTATTTCTAACACTACCAGCGCAGGGTGATCCCTTATGGTAGGGGCCAGTTAAGGGGCACAAATTTCCTGCTCAATCAAGAGTAGGTGGCGTAGTTGGAAGTGAAAAAGGGGGGTAGTGTTCCCTGTGGGTGGGGAGGGCCACATATGCATATATATACTGTATATATATATACACATATGGATATACATATACATACATATACATATATACACATATACATACATATATATATACACACATATATATATTAGGGCTGTCAAAATTTACGAGTTAACACGGATTAATCCATCATCATAATTAATCTGATTAAAATTTTTAACGCAATTAACCCATCTGCAGCACAGAATAACTCAAAATCCCTGAAATGTCTCTGTCAACCCATTTCGGCCAGTCTTGGTGCGTTCCATTTGCCCTGGGAACTTGTATTCCGAGTCGGATTCCGAGTTTTGAAGCCGGAAGTGACGATATGCGCGCTCTTGTTTCGCGGAGATCCGAGAAATATCTCGGAGCAGCACAGAGGATCCCGAGTTCAGAATCCAAGATGGCTGCGCCGTTTATCAACAGAAGGGAAAGTTGTAGTTTTATACTGTTTAAGCACTACTTCTCATTTGTGGCTCATTAAATCGGTCGCACACACTATACCGTCCAACTTATCTGTGGACGTGTTG